AACTAGACAGATGGGAAAGATGGTTGTCCAAATGGGTGCCTAAGACTTTAGGGCACGACACACTTCGCGGTTGCCCACACGGACGAAGGGTTTTTTATTTGGGAACCCTAACCGTTGCCTTTGACTCAACGGTCTAACCCGCAAGGTAGCGGGATTTCGTGGGTTTGTCCATCTAAAGCCCTGACCGGAGCCTTCAACTCAAAAGTGTGACCCACAAGGCTGTGTGGCGGAAATTCAACGCGGGAGCGTGTGCGAAGCACTCGTGTGAGAGCTTCTGGAGACCTGTCACACAAGGCCTTTGAATTTCGAATGATTATGTTGTTGGCTTGTGCGTTGGTTGACGGTCCGCTTTTCGGGATCGGCCCTGTGCTTCATACACCCAATGAGACGAATGGAACGTGGACGGTACAGCACCTTATTGACCGGGCGCTGCCCAGCTTGGGCAGGCGGTAGCTGTCCGATGATGTGCGAAGACTTTTCCCACCGTCGAGTTAAAGCTCCAGGTATCCCGTTCCTACGTCCATCTGACGGGGTTGTTTTAGCGGTAAACTGCCCCTCACTGTGTTCATTTGCTGGAGTGGTCTCTTCAGGGGCGGGTGTGTATAGAAGAAGGAAGTCAGGAGGTGCCCAAGCAGCTGGCTTTGTGAGACTGATCTTCGTCTGGCCTCTAACCGTTGACCTTTCAGGCAATATTGAATCTGCGGCTGTTATGAGCCATTCTGTGTAGCTCGCAGGGTCATGAAAGCACGCAAACCATCACACCGTGTCAAGATGTAGTCTCGTCATGATGAACTTGTGTGCGGACAGACTGTTTACCCGGCAAATCATGGTACAATATTCTTTATGAAAAGGGAAAAATCGTTCCGTGATTGGCTTTTGGGCTGAATACTACCAGGTTGCCGAGGCCAAGGCAGGTGAATTTTCTTGAGGAATTCACAACCGGAGCCTTTCGGTTTGCCAGAGCCTGACCATCTTCCTGGTTGGTTTGGAATCACCATTTTTGGACAATTCCCCGAGGTGAACTACCAGTGGTCCACTAACGCGGATGTCGGCTTTTCGTCTTCTCACTTTGGTGGGAAAACACGTCCGCCACGAGAAGGCAGTGAGTAGGTCTTCCTCAGCATCGGTTATTAGAGACGCTTGGTCGTATGGGAGCATTTCGCGTGATGCAAGGGCAGGGTGACCAGCCACAACCCAAGACACCCACCCCCGACTACACTGAGACTTTTGGAGGCTAGCAACAATCTAGTGTAGATGCGTTTTCACACTAATATTGTGTTTCTTTGAAACTGAAAGGTTACGTATACTGTTTTGCGTGGGAGACTGATCGTCCGGAGGCCTTCGGCTGTCTATTTTCACGTAGTTTGCCATTGGTTGGATGAAGCTTGTGTGCAATCAACGCTAAGGCGAGCTGACTGTTGTTGGGAAATATATCCGCAAAAAATTCCCCATACCGCCCAATTCAGATTATTAGGCTTCCCAGACCCATCTATCGTTTACCGCACTGTGCCTCAATCGCTGGTGTTGCTCGAAGTTGGATGAAATTGCGTGAAAGCCAACAGACTACGTGGAAGAAAAGCACAGCTCCATTAGGTAGATCAGGCGCCTTCCGCCCTCTGGTTCTGGGTCCCAAAGACTGGTTGATTGGAGATACTGATGGAAATTGCATCGAATCGATAGTAATGACGTTCCTGTTGTCACCTCTTATCACGTCAGAAAACCTGAACCGGTGTATATGCGTATTTGGATTGTAGTCTGTGTTGACCATAGGAGTTCACTTTCTTCTCTGTTCCTCTCATAATATAACTAACCCATGTCCGCTTTAAGCATTCTCAGTTCCCTTGTGTTCATTGTGAGTTTAGCATGGATTGGTTAATTTCGCTCTACGTGTTTTCGCTGTTCGGAATGGTTCACTAAGTTTAATTTGTTTGGAATATAAAATGCAGCAGTAGAAGATTGAATTTTCATATGAGCTGGTCGCCGACTTCTTGCTTCGATGAAAAATGCAAAGAGGAACTGACGGGAATGGAGGCTCCTAAAAAATTGCAAATCACAACGTGGTACATTTCTTGTATAAACAAATTTCATTAGTTTGATCCATATGGTCGAGTTCAGAATAATCCCACGACTTGCAGATTGAGTCAAAAAGAACCCAGCTTATTACACGTGCTTCCTTGTGTCCGGCATTCCGGTTCGCCAGTTCGTCAGATTTCGATTGTTCTTTTCATTTCGTAGGTGTTTCTTCTCTGTTTCAGTGCGCCAACGTCTGCGTTAAACTCATTGATATCACCCAGATCTTCATCTCCCACACAATTCCTCGTGGGTTTCTTCTGGAGCTACCCATTACAGAGTGTAATGTCAGAATTTTACATTGGCACACTACACTCAATTCGTACACCTTTTTCACATTTGGCGACAGTAACTGTACGAGTTCTCAGATGACTCTAAGTTTGAACGTGAACTACTTTCTCTAATTGGTGGTGTGGTCTGTGTGCACAGAAAGCCCTTTGTGTGGTTCACTACCATCAATTGTCTCGTCCATCCTCCTTTCGTAGACTTGCCGGTGTCTGCATCGCACGGCTCACTGTGCTCGTGCAAATGATCAAAGATTTCACGTTCTTGCAAATTATCTACTATCTTGGTGAGTTTTATCACCTGACACAACAATCCGTTTTTATCGTTCCCCACCGAAATCATATTGAAAAGCTATGGGTCCTTGGTTGTTGACTCTGTCTGTGGCTTTCACCTCTGTTTATCACTGATGCCTTCATGCACTCACGCGCATACATTTAACAAGTGTCCTATCCCTTTTGTAGTTCATATTATGTGTACTGTTTTAGGAAGGTTCTAATTAACGAGTTCGATTGTGTTCCTCACACACGTGACCGCGTTTCTTTCGGACTAGTTGTGTCGCTTAGTATTTCGGCACTGCTACACATCTCATCCCGCGTTCATGACGAACACAGCCGATAAAGGATGAGTCCTCACCAGAATTTGCAGAGATATATCGAGTTAGGACAATCGATTGATTACGACATTAGGTTACCGGTTTTATTCTGGGGTAGTAAAACTAAGGAACGGTATGGCTTGATGTGTGTGCTCGACCGGTAACCGGACCGGTTACGTTCGGCACACGCCTGGTAATCGTCTACCTACCTTTCCGTGCCTTTTTGCAAGGTTGGGTAAGATATCGCGGCGGTCAATCCTAGCATATGCTTTTTGAAGAAGTTAGCTCTAGCAAGGGTCCCGGTTGGTGTAGCCCATTTTTCAGATTGGGTCCCTAGGGATGGGGATTGTCGTTGGTTAGAGACACGGAGGGATATGGCTCAGTATAGCAATTCGTTACGTTAATGTTGTACAGTTTCTCTTTCGAAGTCCCGTTGCCACATAAAAAAGAAAAGCGAACACAAAAAGTATCAAGAATTGTACGGCAAAGCGAACAAAAGAATGCGTGACACTAATTCATTTCGTCAAAAATTTTGTTGTTTCCGTTATTTTTGTCCTATCTAATTGCAGTCTACATCGTTCCATTCCGGACCCGGTGCCCAACCGTTGTAATTAATATTGTGGCACCATGATTATCCATATATATATATATATATATATATATATATATATATATATATGGATAATCATGGTGCCACAATATTAATTACAACGGTTGGGCACCGGGNCCCGGTGCCCAACCGTTGTAATTAATATTGTGGCACCATGATTATCCATATATATATATATATATATATATATATATAATGCCTCTGCAAATGCGTCTCCATGATTTCATATAGTAAACATAAAGAGTTACGCACGAGGTATACAAAAAGCTGTCACTTTTCATTTTCAGTGTACCTTTTAGTTCCCTTTGTAAGTGCAATGAACCAACGGCTACTTGCTCTAATATTTTTCCCTTTCTAGTGCTCACGTCGTTCACCTTTGCCAATTTCGGTCAACCAGTAAAGCAGTTTCGCTGGTCGACAAATCCGCTGTGGTGCATTTCAATCCTTGTCATGTGAGTTCCGGCCCTATAAACTGTTTCCTTCCATTCCATACAATTAAAGAAATGCTGCGTCGTTTCATACATACTTCGATCATTGAAAGGTCTCCGATGCTGTTTCAGCTTATTCGAAACCGACAGTATTTATATCCTTCAGGCCCTTCATGATCTTGATCATATCTGGAGCCGGCTTATCCTTTCCAAGAATCCAGCCGCAGTAAACCTGAAAGAAGGCTCGTGACGACCGGAGCCCGGAAGTGCACAGATGTGAACTTCCGTTGCCTTCCCATGGTACAGTGGGCATTTTGCTATTCCACACGATAAATGGTCACCTTCTGGCCATTTAATCTCATCGTCCAGCAATCCTTGTCTTCTAGCAAACGCAGTTTTACTCCTCGTTCCCATCGAGCACTTCAGCAAGATGGTGTGGACTGCTTAAAATCTACTCATCTTTGTCATTTACGATTTCGTCTACCCTGTCACCTTGATGTTTACTATACCTTATATCGATGCAGTCATGTGTTGATAAATTTGAGCACACGAAGCAATATCTGCTGGTTAAGCAAGCACATATTATTTGCGGTATTCTGGAGATGATGGAGTCTTTGTCTAACCAGTGACATGACACCTTGACATAATCGTCGTGCGTTCAAACTGAACTGAAAACTGAGAGTGCATTGTGTGCCAATCGGTTTACATGTATATAGCATTCATACAGTATAGCCTAACATGATGAAAATGTCGGTGATAACCGACAAAGATCACTGGACAACTGTTTTGGACTAGTCAGCAGTGCGTACTTTTTTGTGTCCTTGGGGGGCTCAAACCGGGACTGTAAACCTTTACCCCCGAGCTACACGGCCGATGGTCACCACTTTGCGCGAGTGACTCAATCAGTTTATAGTATCATGTTTGGATTAGCCCATTCGATTGTTCCAAGGCACCATACACTTGAGCGAAACCCACACCCATAACCGTCAGGAGTATCTGGTGCCTCTGAACAATCGAATGAGCTATTCCAAACATAATAATCTAAATNTAAATACATCACCTGATTTATTCATGAAGATCCAAAATTTCAAATCGTATCCATACGAATGGTACCACTCGAAAAGTATCACACTTTCTGTTTTACTTCTTGTTTGCTTATACCTACTTTGGTTATTTACCTCTGTCATCATACCCTTGCTACAACATCCCTCTTATAGGTAGAAGACCGTTTGAAGTCTATTGTTCTTATTCTTGTCCATGTATTTTCCTCTGCTTCCTTACGGTTTTCCCACAAGGTGGTCCGTATCTCTTGAAAAAGGAGTTACAAACCCCAAGATATAGCATATCGTAATTCAGCTCGGTATCTTTTTTCCTCGGTATTTAGATAGCCAAACGCAATTGAATGTTTATAGGACGTTCGTATAGAACGTCGTGCAGTACATCACTCGCCCATATTATGAACGCATCAGTATTCCGTCCTATCTCCGTACTTAGTACTCTTCATACTTCCTCAGTTCTTTTCCTGTAACTTGTCAATATTCTTGGCGTTCCCATTATGGCTCGTTTAATGTTCACAACAATCGCGCTCTGATGGCATCCTGCTGGGTCATTGAGACTGGATTTCGTCCAACTGTGTAAAAACTAAAGCTAGAGCATGATTAAAGTGCACCACATCTCTGGTACACAATATGTCAATGTTTTGTCCTGTAACTTACAGAAAAGTAGTTAGTAAACTTGCACTTTGAGTGAATTATTCGATTTTACGCTCAATGATTTTCTTTTGTTTCCTGCCTAACACTTTTGCTTCGATGGAAAAAATAGCGCAAAGTAGAAAATTTGTACAGGTTGTTGTATCAATGGAGTCGCACTGTATCTGTCGCCTTACCCGTTCATTGCCTCCAGTCTTGTCGTTCAAACCTTCTGGTTCCTCTTGCATGCGCTTCGTTGGGACGAAACTGTTCACACTCGATTGATTCACTTGCTCCATCCCGCGGTGATCGCTGTGGATGTGATTTGGTGTCCCATTTTGGTTATCCTAAATGAGATCGTCTCGTGGAAAGAGCGCAGGTTAGTGTCTACCTGACCTTTAATCAATTTGCGTGTATGTACCCAACAAATTTATTGTAAATTGTTTATTGTGAATTTATTGTAACTTGCAACCTCAATAAGATAAATCTTTTCGCTCTTGCTAATGTTCGTCCACATAATATTTCTTTCGTATGTCCACAATCGAAAGCAATCCACTGCTACCAAATTTAATCTATTTTTGTTCAGCACTTCTAGGCCCAATATGTACAATCGGATTAAGGCCGAACGTCCATTGAATTTTTTGTATCAACCAACTCATTGATCCCTTCGCTGTCTTATTGCTTTTGTCAGTACAGAACCAATCGGAAATCCTCATCAATGTCGTCTTTCACTAGCAGCTATTGTGGACCTAACCGGATTGGTACACTCACTAGACTCAATTGCGCTTGCGTGTATTGCCTGTTCGACCTGTTTCGCTCGTTCTAGTTTCCAGCATGTGCTTTTCGGGGCGAAAATGATGGGTGAACGATGAGCCAAAAAATCAGCCAATCATACCTGAACAGGGTCGGAGGGAATGACCAATAAGGACTGTTTATGTTTGGGGTGAGAATTTGATGTTCGGTGCTCCAAGTAGCAGTGCTTAGGCTCCCGGTTCTCGTAGCTAAGCACTTGGTCCTCAAGACTATGAAATTCACCTCTTCCTTATCAATATGTAGAGTAGATGATCCGAGTGAGCGGGTTAGTAACCTAGAAGTAAGTCGTCGGGTGTTTGGGAACGCATCGAACAAAAACTCGCTATAGCATCGAACTCAGCTCAATAGGCTCCATTCTGCGTCTGACGGTCGCTTACCGCAGCGCACCTTATTCGCACTCGCCGCTCCAAACTGGAGTAAGCCACGTGGAGGCCAGCGGATGACGTGAACACCAGGCATTAGGAAATGCACCGAGCGTTTAGGTAGAGTAGTTGTTTCTGGTCTTCTTGTTTGGGGTTCAAAGGACTCTGAAACCGCATGGTTGGAGGTCATGGTTGCGAACCGACAGCAATGGCGATCTTGCTGTCACTTCTTATCAGACCAGAATGCTTGACTAGTATGTATGCATAGTTGGGCTGTGTACTCTGCGTGTTGACCGTAGAGGTTCGATTTATTTTCCCGTCCCTAAAATTAAGTCCAAACCCTATCCTTCTTGCACTATCTGACCTGCGTTGTATGCATTATGAATTTGGCAGCGATCAGTGAACATAGTTTCACTGTATTACACTGTACAATAATTATGATGATTCTGTTTTTCTTTAGCCTGTTTCAATCAGAGCCTTACCCTAGTCTCAAGTTTATAATATTGGTTGGAAGCATCTCGCAAAAGTGATTACGGAGACTTCAGTCATTTTTCAATCGCTAATCCAGATTTTCTTTTATTCATTTTTAAAGGTTGATCAGTACGGAACATCGCTTGGCTCGGCTGTATTTCGGAACCAAACTTGGGATGTATTCCCCGGTATGATCTGTCCATTGTCTAGTCAAATTCTAATCGTTCTTATCCCCCCCCCCCCCATAGATTGCACAACTCCCCTTATTCCAGATGTACGTGCCTTTATCTTTGTATCTTCCTTTCTGGCTATTTCGTTTTATTGCTATAATAAAATAGTTTGTTCGCCTTCGCTCCTGAAGCAATCCGATTGGATCAAACAGTTCGCTTCACTATCTCCGTGTGTATGTGTGCTCTGTGAGTCTTTCGTTTCCAATCTGTTTTGTTACATTCTGATTCGGTACGGAACGTAATTAGTGATCTGATGTGAAAAATGATGAAGATAGAGTAATGGGCTGTAAAGCACCTCAACTGATAGGGTAAGGAAGGCGAGTTTAGCCGTTGCAACAATTGAACTGCGTTCTATCAGAAAATAGTTTGTCAGAATATGCAATATACCATCCTCTGCGTAGCAGTTCAAGAGGCTGGACAATGTGTTTTCAATCAAACTTTCTGAAGGCGTTTTTGTAGTCCGGAAGTGTCAGGTGGATGGCGCTAGCTTTTCTGCATTGTATTATAATAACTTGTATCTGATAGGGATGTCAGCCTATGCACTGCAACCAAGCGTAAGTACTGGTCGTGAGTCTGAGAAATAGATAGCTGAAAACACCAAACATGTGCTTGCCTACTTCAACGTGATCTCAGTTCCAAACATTGGTCGCACATCCAAATCCCGACACCAATATGTGTGAGGTTTATTCAAAAAGTTCTGTAATGCTGGAACAAAAAGAAAGCAATGTGTTCAATCCCACTGAAGGGATTCAACAGTGAGAACGGAAACTAACTAATCAGCACAACCTTCGTGGCTGTTCTCACTCCACATGTCAGAGTGACGGGTCTCACGGGATGTGAGTATGTGTCTTCAGTTATGTCATGATCTGTCTTCTCTAAGTTTGTGGAATCGGAAGGGACTTTCGCAAGTCAAAAATGTTGATACTGAAGTGTCAATGTGAGCATAATTACGGGATTCGGAGGAGTCGTGGGAATTAACAAACATCAACCATTGTCCGAATTGCTGAGTTCCTACAACCAGATAATGCATTTCACTATGCCTCTCCGCTCAAAGAGCGAGGAGTTCTTACCCGATTGGATAGAACACTGACGATTAATAACGCGGTCACACGTCATCTGCTTTTGAAAAAAATGTCAATAGGGCCTGCTGAAGTGGAAAAACTGACAATTGACCGCTTACGGCTGAAGTCCTCAAAGCGCACAAGAAACTGGACTTGAGGACAACCTCATCCCTCGTAGGATAAAACACCGGAGCGATCATGAATTCAGCAGATTCACTTCCCAACGTGATCTCTATCAGAACTATGAGATATCACAATCTGCGTAAGACTTGAGTTTAAACCCTATATGGTGGGGGTGGACACAGCTCCATGTGTTTGCCCCTGTGACCTTATCTTGTCTTGTTGCATGTATTGATTCAAAGCCTCCTCTAGCATTTGTTCAACTCCGATCAGTATCTTTGTTTAGCTTATGGCTTGCAGATTGTGTTGTGTCACCATTCGATACATGGTTTACACACCAACCCTGTGTTTCCTATCTGTTTATGCGGATAATATAAGTTTCCGCGGTTCACGTTTTATTTGGTTTATCCACTCTCGCTGCTTCCATAGAATCGTTAAGGAGCACGGATAAATTTCGTTTCAGAGTGATTAGATGGTCCTGTTTCAAGTATTAGCGCAAAATGACGCTCGTATACGATGTACGATAATGTCGATATTTAGAAAAAACGATCGTTGCAATAGTAGATTCTCAAATACTCCTACCCCCGGTCACATGATTTCCACAGGAAGTGAAGCAGAACACTGCCTGAGGTCTGAAGGAGATCATTTACAGTATAGAAAATGCTTTCATATGGAGGACAGAGGAAAATGCATTAACAGCACCCGGTTAACTTTCCAGATAGCAACCGCGTGTGTGGTTGGGCTGATCAACTCTCAACCGGTGGTGTAATTTCAGGAAAATCTTTTTCGGTCATTCATGAACATACGATGCAACTGTTTTCAATACATCTGAATACACCAATCGTAAACATCCCAGAAAATGTATTGAATGCTTACGTCTTTTTGCACACTCGGCGTTCCCGACTGACAACCCGTTGATACATAGCGGCCCTTAATCCAGGGTGAAGTCTGTTAAATATCTTTGTGTAACTGAAGAAAACAATCCTCGTTTGTCAACCCACATCCAGAACTGTGTTAGTGAACTACGGAGTCTATCCTTTCACATTCAAAGGCTCAGGCAGCTTGGCCTTTTCCAGTCGGTTGTCTACACTTGTATATCAGTTCGTTTTACGCGTCCTACTTTATTTTCCGTTTATATAAACAAGAATTCGAAGTCCTACGCCTCAATCTAATGATTATTAGCCGCGTTTCTTCAATTTCTGTAAACGAGTTAATGGCGAACCTTCCAGATCATCATAGAACTTCAGTAAGATTTCTTGATCACATGGGAACATTTATTGAAGCGTCACATTTTTCACAAATAGAAAACACTGTTTCTGGTATGTGATGAAAGTTCGTAATAAGGTCGTATACGTCAAGAATGAATGAATTGAGCCAACTTTACTTAGCCGGAGAGTCGTTTGGCTTGTGTCTTCAATAGGTTCCCGTGAAGGTGCCACATCATGATAGAATGTTCTTTCGTACTTACAGCTAGACTACTCATTAGTGAACAATCTGGAACCAAATCAGCGGAATCCCTTCGAATAACACAAGTTGTCTGCCGTAACTACGATTCTCAAGGTTCTTAGACAAGATAATGAAAATAATTATAATAATGTCATATTTCCTAGAGATACTCGATAGAGAGCAATGCGACTATTGCTCTAGTCGAATGAAAGACCGAGACCCGCAAACTACGTTCATTTAGTGAGACCTGCCGGATTGTAGTGACGATGATTGTGCGAAGAAATGGAGGAATCCACGAGGACGTTTTCCGTTCATATTGCCTTCACAATTGACTGTGACTCTGCATTGTTTAGTTGGCACGTATTCGGTACTTTCTAGTACCAAGATACACCAATAAACGTCTACGACCAGTACGAGTTTTTTTGTTTACCTTGGGCAACGAAACACTAGGAGGTCGCGCACGCTGTTGGAGATCCGTAAGAAAACTTATTGGCAGGCCGTCAACGTTGGTGAGCTTCAGGATAACGTTTACACGTGCAGCAAGACAGCCTATCCCACCAGGATTAATGATACTTCCGCGGTGGAGTATAAGCAGCTAACAAGCGCCTCGTAAAGTAACAGCATGCTTTTTGACTCACGGCAGACCAATTGAATAAGGTGAAACACAATGTTGCTCAGTCCTGTGAGAGAAAAAACATCAGATTGGATTTAGAATAGCTCCCTGGTTGCACGAACAATTCAGTCAATTCGGTTGTTGAGTTCAAGTTGTTTCAAATTATGGTGCATTTTTCGTAAACAGTTTTGCACTGAGTCGTTTCATATTAAAGCGCAACTTCAGTAAATCGTTCATCACATTCTTCTGCGAATTCCAAAACAAAATCAAAGCTCTGTTCAAAACGCACTAGGAAACGGTTGGCAGTGCGCAGGTAGGATAGAGGAGAGGAAGTACTAGCGGAACGGAGTAGCCTTACTTGTCAGTCTGGACGTTCATCATTATCGGGACAAGCTGAGGTGCACTTCGAACCTTCAGCATTGCACAATTACACTAATGGTACCTGCGAAGATGAACAAAAGGGAATCTATGGAGACCCTGAATGATTTCCCAAGATGGATCAGACACTCTCAAGAGCCCTTTGGTACACACATGCATGCACATAGAGCATGTGTGCGGCGGGATTTCATTCTCCCAAATAAGCATTAAAATTGAAGATGCAGATATAGGAACGTAAGAGCAATGGTTTCTTGACTAGACGCATTACATTACTTCAAACATTTATGCCGAAGAATGCATCAGACAAAGACAGAAAAGCCTCCCGTACTCGAGGTGCTCCTTTAGAGACTACGCGGTTGCTGATGTTCATCAGAACCT